TTATTTTTAAATCAATGTCTATATTGCCATGAAGCAATTAGGATTTTCTTGCCTGGGATCTTCCTATTGGTGACCTCATCAAAATGGCCGACTTGGATATGGGTGGAGTTGGATCTCCATCCTCGGCTTCCTGAGACGGACTTGATTAACGTTGACGTGTTGTTATTATCCATTAGCCGCAGCTAGCAATTCAAGGATAACGTCACGTTAACTCATTGACTGCCAAAGACGTTTATAGACGTCTTTTATGTTTTTCAACGCGAGTGTCTGGGGGACGATCTGCTAAAGCTTGTCCGTAAATAACAGGCTTCCAGACAGAGTATGTAGTAACAAATTGACCCTCTAGGGGGCAGTGCCACTTTTGATGGGAGATGAGCATAGACTGTAGGAAAATAAGAAAAAGCTAACAGTTCGCTATGCGAAAAATGGCGCCGGTGAGACGCAAGTCGAGAAAGAACGGAATAAGGTAGAAACAATTTTTTTTCTCCTGATGAAAGAAGAGAGTATACTCTTTCTTTTGGTGTGTTCGGTGTTTACATAGTCATAGCACAAACTATTCTGTGGCTCTTGAAAAATCAGTCAAAATGCTCAAAAAACTCTGGCAGAATGGGACTCTTTGTTCTGAAAATGGCTGCCAGTCAATGAGTTAATGACCATAAACGACGTGAATAAAACCTCTCCCGTGTGTCCCTCAGAGCCGTCTCAGATCGAGGTGCGCCTCCTGCTGGCCTACAGCTGTCTGCCCTCGGCGCCGCGCCCGGCGTGGAGCGACGGCGTGGACGCGCTGACCCCGCCGGACGCCGCCGTGGAGGGAACCATCCCCTTCAGCAAGGCAGTCAAGGTCTTCATCATGCCCAAACCCGCCCGCCGCTGAGCGGCCCAAAGGGCTCCGTCTAAACCCGGTCGACATTTTTAGAAAAACACACCGCCTCCGATCTCTACTTTAATAAAAGGGGAAAAACACACGTTTTCATTTCACTCCTTTATTTTGTGCAGCAAACAAACAGAAACAAAAAAACAAACAACCGACCACCATCTTTTCTGTCACGTCGTAGGTTCGAACTTTTACTGAATTCATTGAGAGAATTTGTGGCTTAATCAACAGTTTTTACTTTCTATATACGAAATAGGAAGACAAACGATGTTCTAAACATAACCCTGACCCTAATCCTGACCCTAACCCTAAACCTATACCTGACAATAATCCTGACCCTAAACCTAACCCTAACCTTCGATCTTAAACCTAACCCTGATCCTAAACCTAACCCTGACCCTAAACCTGACCCTAACTTTCCACCCTAAACCTAACCCTGATCCAAAACCTAACCATCCACCCTAAACCTAACCCTAACCTTGACTCTAACCCTGACCCTAACCCTAAAGCTAACCCTGACCCTAAACCTAACCCTGACCCAAAACCTAACCCTGACCCTAACCCTCAACCTAACCTTGACCCTAACCCTGACCCTAAACCTAACCCTAAACCTAAACCTAACCCTGATCCTAACCCTAACC